TGTTAAATCGATGAATCGGTGAATCACGAGTAGACCGCGGATGTCCCTGTAAACTTATACTTGGCAATAATTGAAATAATTGGATTGAACTGTTCATTTGAAATAACAATTGAATTGATGGATTGAAAAGATGGAATATTGGTAGAAAATTATTTAAGAAATATTGTAGGTAACATTGTAGTTTGGATATTTTCTAAATTATTTACGAGCTTGCGCTTCAAGACTTCCTATAAATTGAATAAAATTAAATTGTAAGTGTACAATTGTAAGTGAATGTCGTTTCGTACAATTGAGGAAATCAAAGGAAATGTAATTTGAACGGATTAATTCCTCATTGAGAGGAAGAAAGGGTCGCTCATTGGCTCCGTTGATTAGTTCCATTAAATATCGCGCAAGTGAATCGATGAGCCGTGAAGAACCGTCCAATGAAACAACAAAAAGCTTCATCATAGTTCAACGATATTCTAGCGGCAACAGCATTTAGATGGAACGGAATTATCGTATTAACGAGTCGATTAAATCTCGCTGCGTTCTAATGAAAATAATTAACAATCCGATTACCCGGCGACAAATTTCCTTTCATTGACACTCACTGTGTCGAATCTGAAAGGAGATTCAATTCCTTTGATGGATCGCGAACAAATTGATCGATTATTGATCTCAGCTATTGGCCTCGCTAACTATCCCCCTGCTAATTGTCGTTATCATTCGCGACATTTGCAAGCGTTCAATGATTTCTTGTTCCATTGATCCCTTTGAACGACGAACGACACCAAGAGCTTTATCGAATTTTTCGATCGTCGTGACAAAAAGAATACTTTTCAGTGACAATATTAATAGAAACGAATAAGGGGGGAAGGGCTGAAGCGAAAGAAAAAATAATCTTTGTTATCGATTCATTTCCTCTTAATCATCTGCTGATTCGCACTATCGTGTTTCGCCAGTTTCCTTTTAACCTCAATTTTTCAGCCGATAAACGACGAGTTCTACGTACACAGCGTTGCAAACCTTTTTGTTTATTGCCGCGCAATAAATCTGCACTCATGGTAAACATGAATGGATATCGATCTAGATATTCGAAGTTCCTAGACGATTTTAATCACGCCTCTGTAAACATTACGTTCATCAGATTACATGAAATCGCTGCATTCTTCAGATTGTAGGAAATCGTTATCATTTTTTTCCTAATCGCGATACCATGACTCACGACTGCATAGACTTCCAGTATTGGCTGGTAACCCCGAGCGAGTGGATTCTTGGATCTTTCGTAGTCGACGCTCGAACTAAAAAAAAAGATATTGATAGATCGATGTCTACGATTCGTCGGAAGCTAATAATTTTTAATGTGTTTCCGTATTTTTCTTGTTCCGAGGCAAGAAAGTCCATTATCAGTAGAAGGGCAATAATCATTTATAATCATTTATCTACAATCTATCATTTGTGAAGTTCTTAGAAAGGAATTGCAAACTGCGTCGTTGCAATTTAAAGCAGTTCAGCAGAAATGACCTCAACATTTCACGTGTTGAAAATTCAATTTGCTTGATTTGACAAATGAGTGGAAATGAGTGTTCTTTCAGTATTTAACATTTAAGCATTGATTTCACGTACGTTCGAAACATAAACTGTTATATCTTTAGTTTCATTTCAACGCAGTGAAGGTTTTCTTAATAACATACACGTAGATAAACTGTGCAATTTGGCATTTTTATTATTATTTATCATTATTTGCTTGAAAATGAAACTCGCAAAGCTTTTGATTCAAGAATGAAAGGAACTCGATAGAAGTTCCAGCCAACAATACCTGTTGTTTTCGGCCAAGTTGAAGAATTTACGTTTCGAACATTAAGGAAATTATCTAGTCGATAAGAACGTTTATGAACTTGAGAACGTTGTGACATGTGGAGCATTCGACGACGAAAGAAATCGTCTTCTTTTTCTGCGCCCCGAAGATAGGTTGGGAATATCTGACTTTCAGTCATATGTCAGTCATGTATCAATCACACGTCGATGATGCGTAATTCTCCTGAACTTAAAAGCCATTCTATAAGAATAAAATAATGGCAGCTCGCGAACGACAGACGCAATATCACTACTCGAGCGTGTTCTTTTTATCGTTAAATTACCATTTCTTGTCAAATCACCATTTCGATAGTTTATGTATCGAGATAAAACATATTTACGTCGTATCTAATTTGCGTGGACACTGTTCTTCATTCAATTTTCTGCGACGAAGTTACAAATT